GAAAAAAAGAGGGAAAAGCCCAAATCCCTGCGGACCACGGCCCCCAGCCACGCCAAGTTCCGCTCCACGGGTAAGGCTGGGGGGGCTGGGCCCTTTTTGGGGGGTCTGGGGCTGGTTTGGGGGGTCTGGGGCTGATTTGGGGTAGGGATTTGGGAATTTGGGGCTGGTTTGGGGAATTTGGGGTTGGTTTTGGGGGCTGACCTTAGGGTTGGGTTTTGGGGCTGGTTTTAGGGGTTTTGGGTTGACTGGTTTGGGGGGTTTAGGGTTTGTTTTGGGGGGCTGGTTATTAGGGTTTTAGGGCTGTTTTGGGGCCTGCTTTTAGGGGTTTTGGGCTCTGGGGCTGGTTTTAGGGGGCTAGTTTTGGGGTTTGGGGCTGATCTGGGGAATTTGGGGGGCCCTGCTGGGTTTTGGGGTGCCCTGGGACCCCCCCTGACCCCGTTTCTCCCCAGGGCTGGAACTGGAGACGCCGTCGCTGGCACCGGTGAAGAAACTCAACTCGGGGGTGTCCGACAAGTACAACCTGAAACCCGTCCCCGTCAAGAGGCAGAAGTGAGTCTTGGGGGGCTCCTGAGGGGCTTACAACTGGTTTGGGGGGGGCTTGGAGCCCCTTTTGGGGCTTTCAGGGATGCTTTTGAGGGTCTCAGGGTCTCAGACCCATTTTGGGGGTCTTGGATCTGTTCTTGGGGATCTTGGGCCCACTTTTGGGGGATTCAAGCTGCTTTTTCAGGGTCTGGAACCCACTTTTTGGGGTTTCTCAGACCCTGGGGATTCCTGGGGTTGTTGTGGGGGTCTCTGGGCTGTTTTTGGGGCGTCCTGACCCACTTTCCTTCCCATCCCAGTGCCCCCTCAGGCCCCGGGGAGGCCCCTCTGGCAGAGAAGAAATACAAACCCCTGAACACGGCGCCCAACGCGGCCAAGGAGATCAAAGTGAAGATCATCCCCCCCCAGCGTGAGTTTGGGGGGCTTTGGGGGGACACCTGGAGGGGTTTGGGGACACTTGGAGGGTTTGAGGACGCTTTGGTCCCATTTAGGGGATTGTTTGGGGGGTTTGGGTCTGACCTGATGCTGTTTGGGTCCTGTATTTGAGGGGCCCTTGTTGTCCCATTTATGGGATGATTTGGGAGCCACTTTGGGGACAGTTGGAGCAGTTTGGGGGTGTTTTGGGGGTGACTGAGGTGCTGGTTTAGGGACACTTTCAGGGACAGTTTGGGTGTCATTGTGGAAACAATTTAGGTGCCATTTTGGCCACAGTTTGGGTTCTTTTGGTTCGTTCCTGGGTCCCATTTTGAGAACAATTTGGGTCCATTTTGGGGAGGATTTAGGAGGTGCTCAGAGGACAGTTTAAGGGCCATTTTGGGGTGATAGGGGTCATGTTTTGGGGTGACTGAGATGCCATTTTGGGGTTTTTCCCTCAGCCATGGAAGGTCTCGGGTTCCTGGACGCCCTGAACTCGGCGCCCGTCCCGGGGATCAAGATCAAGAAGAAGAAGAAGGTTCTGTCCCCAACAGCAGCCAAGGTGAGGAAGCCTTGGAATTTGGGGTCCCCCTCTGGAATTTGGGGTCCCCCTCTGGAATTTGGGATGAGTTTTAGAGCACTTTGAGTCCCTTTTAGGGGCAGTTTGGGTGTGCTTTTTGGGGCACTGTGTCTCTTTTGGGGGACCACTTTGGAGCCATTTGGGAACGCTTCTAGTTTGTTTTGGGGATCCTTGGGGTGTCATTTTAGGAATGGTTTTGAGTCCCTTTGCTGAAACTCTCTGGGTGCCATTTTGGGACCTTGTTGGGTGCCGTTTCGGAGGACACTTCGAGTCCCCATTTTGGGCATCGTTTTGGGGTCGAACCCCGTGTTTTTGGGTCTAACCCCTTTGCTTTGCCCCCCCCCCCAGCCCAGCCCCTTCGAGGGGAAACCACCCCCCGAGCCCAGCACAGCCAAACCCTCGTCCCCGGAGCCGGCGGCGGCCGAGCCCATGGACACGGAGCGGCCCGGAACGCCCGTGCCGGCCGTCGAGGTGCCCGAGCCGATGGACACAGGTACCCACCGCGTGGGGGGACAGTTCGGGGAGGGTTAGAGATTTTTGGGAGGGTTTGGGGACACCTGGGGGCCTTTTGGGGGACCCTTTGGCAGCCATTTTGGGGTCACTGTGTCCCTTTTTTGGGATGATTTGGTGTCTTTTTGGGGACGCTTTGGCAGCCATTTTGGGAACACTTTGGGTGCCGTTTCAGGGCCGCTGTGTCCTTTTTTGGGATGATTTGGTGCCCTTTGGGGAACACTTTGGGAACCATTTTGTGGTCAGTGTCCTCCTTTTTTGGGAACACTTGGGGTGCTATTTTGGGATCACTGTGTCTCTTTTAAGGGACCATTTGTTGCTCTTTTGGGGACCCTTTGGCAGCCATTTTGGGAATACTTTTGAGTGCCATTTTGGGATCACCCCATCTGTTTTTGGGACGATTTGGTGCCATTTCATGGACTCTTTGGGAGGTATTTTTGGGTCACTGCGTCCCTTTCTGAGGAGCCTGGTGGCAGCCATTTTGGGAATACTTCGGGTGCCATTTTAGGAACCCTCGGGTGCCGATTTGGGGTCAAAGCCCGCGTGTTTGGTGTCCCCTCACGTCTGACCCCCCGTGTGTCCCCCAGGCTCGTCAGAGACAGGAAGTGACCTCAAGGGCCCCGATGCCCCCTCAGAGGGGGGTCCAGCCCCGCGCCGGCCCCGCAAGAAGAAGACGGTGTCATGGCCGGACGAGGCCCGGCTGAGGGAGTACTTCTACTTCGAGCTGGACGAGACCGAGCGCGGTGAGAGCTCTCCCTGGATCCTTGCTAATCCCCCTGGCACCCCCTGGAATATCCTCCTGGACCCCCTTGGGCCACCATTTTGGGACCCTTTGAGTCCCTTTTTGGGGGACCATTTTGGAAACGCTTTGGGTGCCATTTTGGGACCTTTTGAGTCCCATTTTGAGGACCCTTTGGGCACCATTTTGTGAACACCTCGAGCCAAACAACACAGATCGATACGTCCCCAGGACCCCCCAAAATCCCAGCCCCCCCCACATCCCACCCCTGACCTCTGCCCTTCGCCCCACAGTGAACGTGAACAAGATCAAGGACTTCGGGGAGGCGGCCAAGCGGGAGATGCTGAAGGACCGGCACGCCTTCGAGACGGCGCGGCGCCTCAGCCACGACTCCATGGAGGAGAAGGTGCCCTGGGCCTACCCCAAGGCCCTGGAGCT